CGGGGGCAGGAGGCTGGGGGAGCAGGGGGTAGGGAGGCGGGCTGCGGCTCTACTTGCCTTTCCGCAAACTTCACACGTGAAAACTTTGGGTTTGCTGCTCGGGGAGACGCGGCTGAACTCCGAGGTCTTGTAGGCGATTTTTTCCGAGAGGATCTGAGCGCTTTCTTTCATGTAATGCTGCAGCTGAGCCTGCGATAAGTCCTTGAAGGCGACCCCCGCCGGGTACTTGTCCGCGGCCGGCAGCACCAGCTTGTTGCGCGGGCTGCGGGTGCAAGGGAGAGCTGAGGAAATAAGAAGCCACCGGGTGGATGTTGACACTGGAGGACGGGTGACAAGGGCTGTCGCCTCGGTTGAAATAGCACAGGGCTCCCATGGCGTGGAAGGAGGAGTGATTGACCACTCGGGGTCTTACCAGTTTGTACTGCTGCAAGGGCAGGGCATCGCGGGGGAAATCTCCTTTCAAGCTCAGGGCACAGTTCAAGAGATCGCCGCAGCTAAAGGAGGGCGAGGAGTCTAAATGAGCCTTCCTGGGTTCCGCTCCGGCCACCGCCGCTTTGGGCAGGGGGTCGTACGCCACCGGGACAAAGGGGATCATGCAGGGGATGGAGGAGTTGAGGTGCAGCGGGTGCTTGGGGTCGCCTTTGGCCACCGAGCCGTGGAGGAGTTGCGGGACGGGGATGGAGCGGGGCTCTGGCGTCCGCGCCATGATGCGCTCAATGGAGAAGGCGAGGGGCTTGGGCGTGCTGATCATGTTGCTCCTGGCAGACAGGCTTTCTCTGGCCGGAGGAGTCGCTAGGATTTTGGTCGCCGTGTGGTGGCCACTATTGTCCATGGCTGGATTGCATTTGTTCGCCCGGTTTGAGCCGCTTTGGTAGACGCCTCTTTTTTTTTTTTTTTTTCCCCTTCCTTTCTTTCTTTCCTCTCCTCTCCTTTCCTCTCTCCCCTCTCTCTCTTTCACTCTCTCTGCCCTTTTTCTTGTCACTGCTCTGCAAGGAGAGAGACCAGCATCGCCGCCGCCACCATCACCACAGCCTCCGCCGGCGGAACCAGCCTTCTCAGTCCAGTGGACTCATGCCAGCCCATCACAGTTTACTTTGGCGCACCAATGACTCGGGACAATCGCTACTTATTTCTATCAATAGAAAGTGTTGTGTCAATAACGCAGCCAAGATCTCGCCAATCGTTAACTTCCAAGAGGAGAAGGTAAACTAGATAATTGCTCAATTCGCTTCCAACAGTCAACAGGAAAAGTTTTTTTCCCCCCCAGTAAGCGGCTACTTTTCATTGGCGCCCGCGCCTCCCCCGCCCAGGGAAGGAGGCGTCTCTCCCTCCTCCTTGCCTGTCTCCCCTCTGCCTCCCTCCCTCTCCCTCTCTCTCTTTTTTTTTATTATTATTATTTGCAATCTGCTTAACCAGGCTTTAGAGGCCAAGCAAATCCGAGATCAATTTTCTTGTTTGGCTTTTAAGTGACATCATCTAAAATCATTGTCCAAGTGCTAAATAGGGATGTGAAACCCGATTCAAGGGCAAGCGCCGGTGTATTTGTCAAACGAGGTGCTGCCGAAGAAGCGGCTGGAGGGGAAGCTGTTTGTTTCCTTGCCACTTTCCAGCCCGAGCTCTCTTTGTGCTTGTGCGTGTGTGGGGGGGAGAGAGGGAGGGAGATGGCTGCTCTGCTCCTGGGGACCGCTCCCGGTCTGCTCACTGCTTTGCAGAACAAGGTCAGGTGGCGGCGAGCTTTTGGAAAGCACGGTAAACAAATGAGCGGGGGACTTGCGACAAGCAGACGGCGAGAGCAACGCGCGGGGATGCGGGAGCCACCCGGGCCAAATCCAACGAGTGCTTTTGGGTAAAAGGGTGAAATCAAAACCTGGGGCTGGGGAAGAGAAGGAAAAGGAGGTAGGAAGAGGAAGTGCTTTTTAAATCTGAGGCACTATTTATATATACTTATAGGGTCACCTGCATATACACTGGGTATAGCTTCTCCGTCCGTAAATAATACACGCACAGCACAAATACCGACAACTCAGGATCGGTATAGATACACAGAGTTATACGCTACAGACACCCTGTTTGTAGATACACACATGCACCTGCACAGATGCTGTCCCCGTGTATTTTGAGGAAAGGTTGCCGGCCCCGCTCCGGATGGGTAGCTCCAGCGCCCCGGCTGTCTGTACCTGGGGCGAAGCGGGAGGGCGGGGAGAGGAGAGGGACAGCAGTGGGTAAGGGACATTCTGTATTCACCTCCCGTCCCACCACCCCCCAGGTCGGGCTCAGCACAAGATCCCGTTCCACCCGCCGGCGTGGGGTTCACTCGGCTGGCGAT